AAGCAATTTATTCAAATTGAATGAAAATATTTGGCATTACATTCTGCAAATCAAGTCATTCTCAATTCTCCAAGAATATTTTTCTCTCATAATGAGTAAATCTAAATGCTCTACATGCAAAAATAAATGGTATTCTCACCAACGTTCAAATATTTATGGCCGTAAAATAGTAGTCGCTGACAATGATCAATATTGCATGTGATGAAAGTAAACTGCATGCACTGGGTGAAAGGGAGACAGTGCACCCCCCCCCTCCCCCCTCTTCGCTGACGAGTGAGTGAGTTGCCTATGTAATTTAATGCCGAGTAAATACGCCGGTAGAGGAGTAGTTTTGCGCTGTAATCTAGATGAATTCACCCAACGGCACTCCCTCGCTATACGACAGTGTCATTTCCACCCCCTTTTCCTTCGTAGAATGTCATTTGCACAAAAGTATTTCATTAAAAGGTAAAATAAGGAGTTAAGAGAGTAGTTATTCATCAAAATAACACATCAAATTTTACATAAAAATTCGTAATACAACGATAAACACAAAATAATACCTCAAATTGTATAAATTCAGCGAATAAATAGCGTTGACAAAATGAAATTGTAATAATTTCACGAGTCCGCGAGAGACAGATAGAGAGAGCGAAAGAGAGAGAGAGAGAGAGAGAGAGAGAGAGAGAGAGAGAGAGAGAGAGAGCGACGGCTGAAATTCATTTGGAGTTAAACAGTTTAGCGGGTACAGTTGGTACACAAGTCTACAACCAATAGCACAAACGATAGAGTAGTGAGAGCGAGTCCTCAAACTCATCGTCGTCGTCACGTAAATTCATCCTTCCGTAATTCTCGAAGCCCCGGCATACCAGTTTTCTCAGGCATCGTCACGTCCCTGGGAAATTCTCCGTCGTTCGTTCCGGTTTTCCCCTTGCATATATATATACAGATATAGCCTCATCACACCCTCCCTCCCTCCCCCTGGCCGCCTACCCCCCCACCCACGCTTCATCCCGTTCTCTATCCAGCCTCGTATTCGGTCGTGTCTGCATTATAATGGCATTACGTGTCCTCGTATTACATCCTGCTACAAGCCGACCCAGACCGTTCTGTCGTTCATTCCCTTACCTCTCAGCCTCCGTCCCGCTGGTGGTACAGTGTTCGCGCTTCTCCGTGTACTCTTATTTGTTTCGTCCTAGAATCCCGGATGTTACCGGGGGTAAACTCGGGGTCTGGAGAGGTGCCTCGCGAAACGCTTTATCGACATGGGAGAGGACAAAAAAATAGATCTTCGGGGTGGCTGGGGATGTATTATATTTGGGGGGAGGTTATTGTTCACTTGAGACCCTCGGGGATTCTATTAAGTTAAAAAAATATTTGGAGAATGTTAGAGCGCGCGGGGAATTTCGTTGCTCAGTGGGAAAACAATTTTCTCGCGTCAAGAAAATTACGGCGGATAATCGAGAATGATCTTTATTTGAGAACGTTCGTCATTCGTTATAATAATGCATTCGCATGAATGTCGTGAAATTAAATGAGTTCCATTTTGTCTTCAATTAATGATGAATTTATCATAATTTTTCATGAAGAAAATAAAATGACAATTTCCGAGGTTATTATTCACTTGAGACCCTTCGGGCTTCTATTAACTAACAAAATATTTTGAGTTCATCATTTATCATCATTTATTATAACAAGGCATTCCCATAAATGTCCCATAAAATTGAATAAATTTCATTTTGCCTTCTTCAAAAAAATAAAATTCTAATTCGCAAAAACTGGAATCTAGCCTTTAGAATAAAGAATATTCTTTCCCATCTACAAATGGATAGGGTAAACGACAACTGAAGAATCGATAAAGACACAAGATTACCCTCGCGCATTCGTCCAAATCGGCAAACATGTCGAATGACAAGAGTTTACCGACAATGTCCGAGGGTTCGATACTTTTCATATTAAAAGTATATGAGAGCATGTGTATATCTCCTGAATTCGTACGTCCATCCAATGGTATTATCGATTTAGAGAGAGGGGCGAGGCCAAACGGACTCTGAGTACACACACACACACACACACACACACATACACACACATTCATTTTTTTTTCTTGTCAGGGGGATGACGTCATTGTCAAACAGAGGATTGTATCACGCGAAAACGTAGAGCTTAAACGTGTTCTTTTTCAGCAAGAGAAGGCGGGTTGGGGTGAAAAGGCCGGTCGTGAGACTTTTGTTAACATCAGGATGAAAAAGGTTTAGTGTGAGAAAAATTGGGGCAAGATAAGGGGTATCAGAATTGACCAGTCATTGGTTTAAATTGAACGGTCAAAAATGCTCTCGGTGAAAACACTAAACTACAGTATGATTTTCATTACTATAATGTCCAGATGGTACTATTTTCCCCCATAATGGATTCAATTCTTTTCATTTAATGGGAAATAATTTGGTTTTTCTCTGCCAAACAAAACATCACGAGATTAATTCATTAAAAACGCTTAATTTCTTCTTTATGACCCACATTTAAAAAAAAATCCGTATTTTCATGTTGACGAAGGTCGGTCGAGGGGTAAAAAGAATTGAAAAGCCTCGTACTAATACCAACGCCGGTACATTTCTCGTCCGTGGATCAATTTCATTAATTAGGCTGGTAAATCCGAGCAACTCCGGGACGAACCGGACTTTCCTAATTGGCACGAGGCGCACATGTTTTATAAAGTGGCTCTGTGAGCTACATGGGTACCCTCCCCCCCCCTTCCCCCCACCCCCTGGTCAATGGTATTAGAAGAACTCGGGGATTTTCGTCCGTGCGTCACACGTACATGAGAGTGTGTTTGAATGAAGTCTGTGTTACATGAATCGCGTGGAAAAATAGTGGGGGGATTAAATACGCTGACCAAGTTACAAAACATTCGTGTTCAGCGCGGTGATATATTTTTTCGGACAGAGTCAAAATAGAAAAAGGGATTTGGAGCAGAAGGCATTGAGGACGTGCGTATACATCAGCGGGAGGTACAGCCGTGGCCGAGAATTTGGAATAGGAGCGGTGGATGTGTGTGTATGTCTATTCCGATGTAAATTGTGGGGTGGAAAAAAAGAGAAGTGATATGGGGAAAGGAAAAAAGGGGAATGGAGATGGGGAGAACATCATTGTCCTGAATTCTTGAATGTGACTGAGAATGTTCCTGATTCGAGACTATCAATCCATTTTGGAAACGATTTTTTTTCTTGATGCAATCCCCCCTGTGCGACCCTCATACCCCTCGCGATCACCTCATCTGTTTTTCCCTTTTGAATCTTGTGATTACTACACTTATCTCTCCTATTTGACCCTCGCGATTACTCCATCTCTCGCATTGACCCTTGTCACCTCTCCTCTCGTCTCTTCCATTTGACCCTTGTGATTACTCCCTTCACCTCTCCCGTTTGACCTTTCTAAAAATCAAATTTTAAAAAATCGCCGGAGCTGGGATTCGAATCAATGATTTCCGGCACCACAGGCGAACGTGCTATCACTGCGCCAAACACACAGCGATAATCCCTTGACGTGAGATAATTCCCCTTCTGAGAGAATTAATAATTTCATATTCACAAATGTTACATTAGCGAGCCTCCACTCATGATCACATGCTATCGCCGCCACCTGGCGTTGATTAAACCGTTCCCAATATATAAAATATCATCACAATATACAGCAGAGAAACCCTCGTCACTCACATGTTTACACCCTCCTCTAATACTTCTGAAAAGGGTCGTTACAATCCCCAACCCGTGTGTGTGCTGTCCCTAAGATACCCTCCGATAAAGTGCCGAAAGAATCACGATTCACCTTTGTGTATTCCTTCTTTTTGTTATTTATTCACTTATTCTTGGCCTAACAACAGAGGAAAGGAAAACAATTTTGATCTCGAGAAAGAAACTAAAGAATAAAAAAAAAACGAAACAAATTGAATTACGAAAAAAGAATGGCTAGAGGATGTACTCGAGGGAGTCTGAAGTATATAGAAAACATTTCTTCGCTCTCTTGTTTCATCAAGAGAGATTTTTATCGAATGCACTGGTTGTATGGTGGGCGCACTATACTTGCCAAGAAAATAAAACTACTTCTGTTTGGTATCGTCACGGAAAAGTTCGTTGGCCATTCGTTCTATATTGCCCTGTCCACTCGACTCACCTCCCACTCTATCCCTTTCATTTCCCGTATTCTGTTTTCTCCTCTGACTCAAGTCGAAAACTATGTTTGCCCGTTGAACAACAACGAACAACAAACAGGATGGACCACTACAAAGCCTCGAACCTCTGAGCGACTACTGGAGACTTTACCCCCCCAATGGTTTTGGGCCATACCTTCCAGTATCAATACCCCTCCCCCTGCCGCCTACCCACATCACCTCCTTCCTATTTTAACTGGACACTTCCGAATACAGATCACGGAGATAAATATTACTGTCAAAGGAAACAGGAGAATCATGGACCTCAAGTCAAGGACTATCAAGGAAGATCAATGCTTCAATTTCAATCTTGTCAAGCTTTCAGACTTGCTTCTACGGTTATCATTGACTGTTTGATGAAGAAAAATCTCCGGTTTGTTTTGGTCAACAGACCTGTATCAATACCGTTCGCTGCCGACTTGGCTGTGGAAACGAAATGTATAATATCGAGTCTTTATTGTTTTTACGGAAATAAGAACAGTTTCGATACACACGGAGGCGAGCAGTATCTTGACTGCTCTTCATTCTCCATCCCCTCATCTCCGGCGCGGGTAAACATTCTTTTATTAAAGTGTACATCGTGCTTGGTTTGGCGGCAACAATTTTTCAAAAGAGGCTGTACACAGACAAGAACTCTCCTTTGTCTTTGCGCTTAGGGGACGCCATGAAAGCTATTCATCTACCCCCCCTCGCGCTGTTGTTCTCCTCCTCGACAGCAATTTCATGACAAGTGTTGGGGGAATTGTCTCCATTCTCTTTTTAATGAAGATTTTGATCAATGATTTTTCATAATTCGATATTTCTTATGTTACAGGTTGCGCATTCGTGAAATTCCCGTCGCATCAGGAAGCACTGGCGGCAATAAACTCATTACACGGCAGTCAAACTATGCCGGTGAGTTATCAGATTTTTCTTAATTAATAGAGGAAATTGGGACAGGTCGACGTAAGTGGACTACTGGGGGAAATTCATCCGCGACACGCACAAGTAGATATTCGTGCATGAGTATGGTAGGGGGAAAATGATCTCTTAAATTTTTAAATGGTTTCAAGGTATCATAATGGGAGATCTCGAAATTGAGAATTTAAGACATTATAAATGCCCGCGTTTAGGATATCCGAAGATTTTTTTTTCCACTCAACAGATTTCCCTCCCCCCTTATTTACAATCTGAGGATGAAAAATCCAATGAACTCGACTATTTTGACATTCTCTTCCACCGGACAGATCAAAACAGATAATTAACCTGTTTGTTTCCACCAGTAATCCACAACGAGAATTTCGTAAATATCGAATTTGAAGTTTTCCTCGCAAAGCAGTTATATTAATTAAGGGCACAAATTGAGGGAAAGGTGAGTGGGATATATACCGAGGCGTTAAAGTTTGTTGAGAGTGCCAGATGGTCGTGGGGACAGGGGGGTCCAAGGGTAACGGGGACAACGTAAAATGTAAAGCCCGAGAGCGAACGGTGGCAGTTGTACCGGCAAACACCCCAGTAATGACTGGCCAAACACAAATCTGCATAATACTTGGGAGTAAAAGGAGAGAAGCCAGGAAATTTCGTGGAGGGCGGAGAGATGGCCGAAAACTTTGGGCTGAGGCTTAGGAGAGAGAGAGGTGGGCTCATGAATTCCATAACCTCTGCGCCCATCCAAAACCGGGAATATAATTGAATTGTCGAGGCAAAGCTCGCGGTGTCGAGTCGAATTTTACCTGGACGATGTCGCGAGAACTGGGGGAGAATTCACCCTGTGACCCTCAGATAGGGAAGGGTGGGGTGGGGCTGACGTTGGCTTCCACTTCTACATCTCTTGGTGAATTTCCCAGCGGCAAGAACCCTCCAGTAATTTCCCCCCCGAACATAGAAATAATATTTATTTAACAATGACCGAGAATTGAAGGGTGGAGTGAGTCAGCCGAGCTCTGAAAATATGGCCCTTTTGGCGCACCCCAACATTTCCATTATTCCTCATCATTTTTTTCTTGTTATTCATGTTATTCTAGGTCGCTGTGACCACCTTGCCAACTTCTATTTACTAATGTGGCGAAGACTTTAAGTCCTGGATCTGAAAAAATTCCATCCGAGCGGGATTTGAACGCGGCACCTCTCACATGTGGAGAGACGACCTTACTTTGCCATTGAACATATCCCTGCAATAAAATAAATTCTATCGTCGAAAATGTCATCTATATTTCCGGACCCTAACATTTCCATTATTCCTCATATTTTTTTTCCTATTCATGTCATTCTTCTATATCACTTTGACCATCTTTTCGACTTGCATTTACTAATGTGACCAAGACGTTAAATCTTGTATCTGAAAAAATTCCACCCGACCGGGACTTGAACTCGAAAGATATTCTCTAAGTAAATTCTATCATCAAAAATGCTATCCATACTTCCGACCTTCAATCGTCCTTCGCTCAAGTGAATGGATAATTCGACGATTATATCCCTAACCCAATCTTCGAATATGTAATTCACTAACAGCTTTCTTCCACCATCGTACCTTATTAACTCCAGTAACAGAGTTATCTTATCTCCACCTATACCCTCCTCCCCCCGGCTCTTATTCCATCCATGATAAGACTTTTCATATAACGCAAACCCCGTAACACGGGCTCCTCTTCGATACATGCAAGGCCCGGGGGTAATTTGATTCGGCCGCGTTCGCTCTCCCCAGCCCCCAACCCCCTGTCGTCCGACCGATGTCGACCCCGACAGACGCGTCCGCTAACCCCTGCAACCCCCCTCGTAACCATCCGATAGACGAAACTGTATTACGTTCACACATCTCGACTTATATACCTACCAAATGAGATATTGATTCGCAATCTGATACGTGCAGGGGAGTGACATCGTATTCTGTCGGTCTTTATGATATTTCCTATTGACAAGGAATTTATCCTTGATGTCTGATACTTCCGCATTTTCTGTCGAGTATTTTCTAATGTTCATCATTAAATGAAATACGACCTCGCGACGGATTAATTTGAATTATTATTATTCATTAAAAATCGTGAAAATTGAAGGAATGTTTTTAAAAATACAAAGTAACATCATCAATTTTTAAATCATTAAGCTCTACGCACTTGACTATCATGTATATATTGCCTCATTAGGCTTATGTATGATGCCAGTAAAAACAAGAGTGGCTCGGAGTGATAGATGCCAGGATCAGCCTCTCGAGTGGGTTCCAAAGAGCAAAGGGGGACTAAAAGGTAGAATTATCGTACACCGAGAGTACCTCGAGGGCTTGCCAGAGGTTGAATCATCGAGGATAACAGTGGAATAAGGGCGCAACGATTAAACGTTGTGAAACCCACACCCCATCGCGAGTTAGAATTGTAAAATGCTGAAATGGTTGAGTCCTTGGAGTGATTAAAGACCCGTTAGGGACGAGAGATGCGCATTGTGATGACTCTTATAAGGATTCAGAGGCTGTATGAAATCAAATGCCAGCCCACTGGCTTATTCCGACAAAATTCCAAGTGGGCCCTCAAGCATTCAACTTCCACTGGTGAATATTCCAAGGCTTGTAAACTCATGTGCAGCATGAAGGGGCGGGTAGACTACTTTCATGGGGTTGTGAACGGAGAAGAGACAGGGGCTCTTGAGACCCTTCTGGAGGATTGAGGAAAAGTATTGAATTAAATGATGCAAATTACCGTCAATTACAGGGATAATTCAACAGTTGAGTTCTTGAGAATTCGGGCGACGTCTTGAGGGTGAAATTGAGGGTCAAATCTTGGGGCCACACTGGCCCCTACATTGACCCTGAAGAAGTTCTGTCATACATTATTCATCTCCTAGAGATATTGGTGTAATATTTTATGACAAACATTCCAGAAAATATTACCCCAGACGTCAGCGCCTAAACAAAAATAACTGATCTATCCTAAATCGCGAGCAATATTTGCAATTCCTAGAACGTTAATTTGCCATTTTCCCCCTTTCATTATAGTTAATACGAACGAGCTCGACACATTGACGTTTTGTTTTGTTATCATTTGGACAACGGGTGAAAATTTGATGATATGTGTCGAGCACAGTCTATCTGCAAAACATGTTATGTTGGAAAGCCTCGACTGTGACATTTCTTGTCACGGTGAATAGTGGAATGGGTCGAATGGGGGGGAAACCGTTAACTTGTTGTCAGTCAAGGTTTTCCCGTCGGCCTCTCTACGTCCAATCGTATCACTCCGGTGACTCTCACCACTGACACCAAACCCAGAAGCCTGTCCAATAAAGCAAAAGGTTACGCATTTGTATGTTTCGGAATTGTGTATCATTCAGCGGCAATCATAATACGATTTGACGCGGAATCAGAGATATAATTGTTATGTCAAATTCTCTTAACAGTACCCCCCGGGACTTTAGCCAATTGTTCATTTGATCGAAGCATGACACAAGTGATTAATCTCGAGCAACTCGAAAAACTTTGTTACTCCATTTCTTTTCCCCATAATGAGAGGAAAGAGATGGTCCATCGGCTAAGGATCCTCATAAAGATCCTCGAGGCAATTCTATGCCGCGACAACGCGGCCACCCCCCCTTTACCGCTGGCTGTACCTTTCCGGTACACGCCATACTCATCACCGGCCGGATGTACCTTTTCTCTTCTTCAACGGTCGAGTGGATAGAAGGAAATTGTCTCCGCATTAACGGAGACTCGGAAACTGCTTCTCCAACATTTAATTAAAGACGCGTCCTCCTCTCCCTATTCACCCCCCTCCCCACTCGACTCTCTTTTCATTCCACCCCACTTGGTAGCCTTCTATCTGTACTTGTAATTATATTCTTTTTCATTCTGAAAATAAACATTTGTACTTGGTTTAATTTTTTCATTAGACGCTGTATGAGCTATGCCAAAAGGAGCAACTTTTACATTTCGGAATATAATATCGGAAATTATATATCACTATAACTGGTATGATATATTTAATATCATATATCAAATGTTAAGTTACAAATAATCTCGTTTAAATGACTAAAGTATCCAGACCATCTCTCTGAAATAAATCCCCCCATATTGAGATATACTCTCAGCCAAAATACCCACTTCCACCCCCTTTAAAATTCCTCCTAGTCCGTATCCCGGAAATTACGTAAATTCGATGTGAGAAAACCGCAAACATACATACCACATCCTCGAGCATCCTGATTCACGAATAATTATAATCCTCACTCCCTGTTTTGCATTCAAGGTATTTGCGGCTTTGGTCACTCGTAATTTCTAATCCAGCACTTGTGGTTTTACGCGTATCGAGAAATTGATTTGTCCGTAGGTAGGATTCGCGGTTCGTCGGAGATTGCCAAAGAGAGTGGGAGTGAGATGGCGAGTGAAAATAGGATAAACGTGAAAGGGGCAAGGGGGAGGGGTGGGGGGAGGGTGTATAAATGGGATACAAGGGTCCTGGAGCAATTCACCCCGCGTTCCGGCCGGTCATGTGGTTCAGTTACGTTCCAACAGTTGAATCGAAAATTAACGCGGAAACGGAAGTGACGACCAATGAGAACTTAATGGATTGATTTAACCTTTCAAGTTGAAAATATCTCTATTCCTCTTTGAGACTTGTACTCACTGGTAATAGCACCATTGAATATTTTCAATAATTCCCATAAATACTTCATTGTTTTAGAGAAATGGAATTTCATCATAAACTCGAATAATAAAAAAATGCTGCATTTAGTTCTGGCAATGAATTTTTTTTTGTGAATGCATTGAACTGCCCATTCGAAGAGACGGACCATAATACGTTTTACAGGCCCATAAATCTATCGTCGATAAGCCATCTCGGTTTCGTCAAACTCATTCGCACGTTTCTTTTATATTTTCCCCTCTTTCGTCTTTTTTTCTTCCATCTCAAGTACCAAGAGCGCGATTCCGCGGT